AGCCCAACTCCTAAGAATGGCCTTCAAGGCCTCTGTGCCTTCTCCAAGGCCTGCGATTCTGCAGCGAGTGAGAAGTACTTCCCTGGGGCCTCTGCCTGGCCTGCTCTGTGTGAGGCTCCCTGTCCACACTTATTCACCTGCCGGCCTCTTCACTTTCTGTGAGTGTTGACTTCAGGGTCACAGTTACCGTTCTGTTTGAAAGAGCCTTCTGTGTACCTCCCACCATCAGTCTCTCTGATCCTGCTTACTTTATCTTTCTTCCGTATCGTTTATTACCTTATAACATATAAGAAAATGTGCACACTTCTGTGTACTGTCTGTCTCCCACTGCTAGACTGCAGACCCATTCAGGTGAGGGCCTTCGCCTGTTTTCTTCACTGATGGATTCCAAGTGCCCCCATAGTGTCTGGTGCTGAGTAAACACTTACTCAGTTGGATACATTAACTAGTTGGATAAATTAACATCCTCAGAGAGGTAAGACACCAAAACCAAGAAATACAAATCAGGGCCAGGTGCGGTGGTTCACACCTGTAATCCCAGCACTTTGGGAGGCCGAGGTGGGCGGATCACCTGAGTTCAAGATCAGCCTGGCCAACATGGTGAAACCCTGTCTCTACTAAAAATACAAAAAATTAGCTGGGTGAGGTTGGGGGCACCTGTAATCCCAGCTACTTGGGCGGCTGAGGCATAAGAATCACTTGAACCTGGGAGGCAGAGGCTACAGTGAGCTAAGATCACGCCATTCCACTGCATTCCAGCCTGGGCAACAAGGTAGAAAGCCCATCTCCAAAAAAAAGAAAAAAAAAAAAGAAAAAAAAAATACAAACAGGATAATATATAAAAGATACACTGAAATGAAAAATAAATTCCAGAAAAGAAAAAAGAAATGAAACATTCGATAGAAGTACTGGAAGATAAAGTTGAAATCTCTCAGAAAGTAAAGTAAAAAGACAAAAGGGTGTAAAACAGAAGAAAGAAAATCAGGAATTATATTAAGAGGTTTAACATCCAAATAACAGATGTTCAAGTAAAAGAGACAAGGACAGAGGGTGGGAGCATTAAAGAAATAACTCAAGAAAATTTCCTAGAATTGAAAGACATGAATTTACAGATTGGAAGGGCCCATGAAGAACCAGGACTAGGCCTATTATCAGATGAAGAAAATCCTACAACCTGCAAAGCAAGATCAAATACAAAGAAACAAAAATCCCAATGGCTATGAAATCCCCACAGGCAGCAATGGGAGGTTTAGGACAGCAGAGCAACGCCTTGAGATATCAGTAGGAAAGTGATAACCCGTCAAGAATCCTATAAGCAGTCAGACCATGACTTCAGTGTCAGAGCAGGTGAAAGACGTCTTTCTGGCACACAAGGACTCAACATAAGTTCCTCAGCTGCCGTGAGGGAGCAGGCACTGCAGATGCTCGTGGCCCTCCTTACAGCTACCAGGCGGCCTCCGTGAGGGCTCCTCGGGAGCCAGGCCACCTCTGGCTTGTCAAGAGGGTGTGTGTAGGTCACCCTCTCTTGTCCTGGGGATCACACCTAGTTTCCAGAAGCCAAGCACAGTGTTTAGTAACTTCCTTGCCACCTTCATTAGGAATGGTCTGAAAGCCTGGCCTTGTCAGTTCTTGGAACTTTAGGAATGCTTATACACTTACAGGTGAATGTGAGATTATGCCGCTCGGGACACATTTTTTTCTCCTATGGGCAATACCCTAAGAATGGGGTAAGATCCTTATCAACATGTGAGCAGCAGCGCATCTGCTGGATGATCCTATGAAAGACACAAGTTTCTCTTGTACAGTAATGAGGAGGGTGGAGAGGGCCACAGAACCAGGGAAAGCTCCCTGGGGCGCCCAAGAAAACACCAGAGCAGCTGAGACCCTGGTCTCTCTGAATTCCTGGATTTTGAATAAGCCTGAAACTGTGGCTTCGGACATCTTTGCTCCTGCAGCATCTTTTCCTCTTGAAGGACCCTGGGGCAGTTACCAGCGCACCTATGCATGCACACACGCACACGCAAACACATGCACGCGCACACGCACACGCAAACACATGCACGCGCACACGCACACGCAAACACATGCGCGCGCACGCGCACACGCAAACACATGAACGCGCACACGCATGCACAACTGTCTGAAAGCCCGGGGCTGCCAGGCAGAGCACTGACATGGGGTTGTGATGAGGCATGAGACTTTGAAGCAGGACAGATCTGTTTCCCTCCACGACGCAGGCAGGCGAGCCTACTTCCTCACATGAAAGCCAGTCGCCAGCACCTTCACCTGCCCCATCAGAGCACTTGCGTGGGCTAGAGGCTTTTCCCATTTATCATTTTATTTAAATCCTCCCACCAACCAAGTAAGATAGATATTACCATTGTCCCGATTTTACAAAGAAACGGAGGCTCAAGAAATCACTTGCCCAAGTTCCCACAGGGAGCAGGTGAGCTCAGAGGTGAACACAAGCTCCCAGGCTCCAGAGTCTCTGCTCTTAACACACACCAGGCTTGGCTGTAAAATGTAAATATATATTTATTACTTTCTTTGTAGACCATATACTCCTTGACAACAGGGACTACCACCTTCACCTTCATGCCCACCAGGTGTCACACTGCAAGGCCGAGCTGACCCCCACTTTCCTTTGGTCCGCCTCCTGCTGTTATCTGGAAGAGGCGTACAACATCCTTCACCCAGAAGCTAGCTGTCCTCACCTCACTGCAGAGGAACACTCCGGGGTTCTTCTGAGGGAGGCACCCTGAGTCTGAGCTCAGCTCGCGGCTTCTACCGTGCCGCAGAGGTTCCTCAGGCCTGATGTGACGCTGACTGAGCACAGGAGCCAGGGTGGTTTTCCATCGTTCCACTCGCAGCACTCAGCACAATGCCTGGCACAGTGCTGCTGCTCCGTAAGCATTTGCTGAGTGGAAGAAAATCGCGCCTCCCACCTCCAGACGAGAGGGAGCTGGGGACAGTGAGATTTGTGAAGCTGACTGATCTCAGGATAGCCGCAGGCATCTGAGTCCCTACGCCTTGGCCTGCAGGGAGCTGCAGTCTGGGTAAAACAGGATCATACAGGAGCCCCGCCTCTGACAGGAGACAATGGATGGAATAGCCTTCCAGAAGCCCACCGGCCGGTTCACTCAGGGCTGCATGCTGTGCTGCGTGGACCACCACTTCCCATGCCCACAGCCGTGTCCGGGAAGCAGAGAAGAGGCTGACAGGCACCAGGGCCTTGGTCACGATGGACTTGACACTGATGTGGAAAAGTCAGGACCTGCTGGCAGCATCTTCCACTACAGGAGGGGTCTTCCTAAATGCGACGGCACCTCCTGATCCAATCCTGCGGCCATGTCCACCTCCCACAGCACCCCCGGCTCCATGCTTTGAAGCCCGGCTGGCCCACACACATTCTTTACCTCCCAACCTGACACTTCAACTTTTTCAGGTCACACACTGCTTTGAAGCGCTAATGAAAACTGGGAACTGTCTCTCCAGGTCAGTAATCATGTGCACGCAGAATTCTGCGTGCAATGTAGTGGGCCTGTGCCTCCTGAGGACCACCAACGGTCCCATCCACATCACACATCCAGCCTCTCACCAAACTATGAGGCTCACGAAAGGTAGGGCCATAGAAGCCGCAGCACAGAGCCTGGGTGGGAGTGGAGATGGTTTGTAAAGATGTCTTAGGGAACCTGGACTTTAAACTTGGACTATTGTTTTTGTAAATTTAGCAAATGAAGCAACAGATGTGAAAACTGCCTAGTAATACTAAGTTAAAAAGCAGTTTCAATTCCGACAAATGGCTGTAGGGTCCCTCCCCACCTAGAAGGCCGCGGGGGAGGAGACATGACAGGGCCAGAGGAAGCAGCCCTACATGGTCCGCCCTGCTTTTCTGTTCACTAGCCATGTGCTCATGGGCACGTGGCAGAGCCCTCCGGGGTTTCCGTGGCTTTCCTCCTGCATCAAGCACCCAGGGAAGAGGGAGTGGCGCACCATGAGCAGCACCTGGGTCTGACCCGACTGTCCCACGCATGGGCTGTGAGACGCTGGGCAAGTCCGGCACTGTCTCGACTGTGAGAAAGTGGTATTTACAACAGTCCCCCTTCCCAGAGCTGCTGTGAAAACAAAGGGCCCATCACAAGGAGGGAGCTCGATAGATGTGGCTCTTCTCACCCAGGGTTCCAAAGGTCTTGTTGGAATCAAAAAGAATGCACGTATAGACACCTGCAACTAGGGCCGGGCACAGTTGCTGACACCTGTAATCCCAGCACTTTGGGAGGCTGAGGCGGGTGGATCTCCTGAGGTCAGGAGTTTGAGGCCAGCCTGACCGATATAGTGAAACCCCATCTCTACTAAACATACAAAATTAGCCAGGCATGGTGGCTTGCGCCTGTAATCCCAGCTACTCGGGAAGCTGAGGCAGGAGAATAGCTTGAACCTGGGAGGTGGAGGTTGCAGCGAGCCGAGATCACACCATTGCACTCCAGCCTGGGCAACAAGAGCGAAACTCAGTCTCGAAAAAAAAAAAGAAAGAAAGAAGAAGAGACCTGCAACTAGAACATTGTAACGCAAGCAACTGCCTTTTTGTTTTGTTTTTGTGTTTTTGAAACGGAGTCTCATTCTGTCTCCAGGCTGGAGTGCAGTGGTGTGATCTCAGCTCAGTGCAACCTCCAACCTCCACTTCCTGGGTTCATGTGATTCTCCTGCCTCAGCCTCTCCAGTAGCTGAGACTACAGTGGCTGCCACCACGCCCAGCTAATTTTTATGTTTTTAGTAGAGACAGGTTTCACCATGTTGGCCAGGATGGTCTCGATCTCTTGACCTCGTGATCTGCCCACCTCGTCGGCCTCCCAAAGTGCTGACATTACAGACGTGAGCAATCAGGCCCAGCCACAACTGTCACATTTTTAAGTGAAGCATCCAACCTTCGGAACAGATGCCATTGCTCCTAACCCATGTCACTCTCAAACACGGAGAAATGAAAATGAATGATGATTCCATAGGTCAACACCACAGAACTGGCTTTTACTAACAAAACCAAAGAACCTCAAACACTTTTTGTGGACATCAAATTCCTTCCTTCATATTTTAAAATGACATTATGCATGTACATATTTTTAAAATTTAGACACATTTTAGAGAACACAATTGTGAACACAAATCCAAGAAATGAATGAGATGTACTAAAGTCTGATTCAAACACTTCCCTTAAACTGACTTCTGTCAATCCTCTGTCCTGTGAAGTCCCGTTTCTCCTTTGCCTGCAGGGACTGAGCTGGAATTACTGTCACACAGCAGCACATGTGACAGACATGAGGCAGGGGTTAATGCAGAGTCACAGAACAGCACCTCTGTTGACATCTAGTGGGTAAGGAGGAAGGTGTCAACCCACGTGGCTTTTTAAAAAATTTGTAAATAAAATCTCCTCCTTTATTCCACAGATTTTTAAAAATCTTTCCCTCAGTGTATTAGAAAGACTAATAGTATTTTTTAAATGTGTGTGTGGATGGACTCACCTGGGAGACACCTGGATCCTAGGCCACCTTCGTGGCTGCTCTGCAGACGCCTGGCTGCACCAGCTGCCTCCTCCTCTGAGAGGGGCCGCCCTGGAGAGCACCGTGCTGGCTGTGTTGCCTACTTGCTTTCCTTGGGAAACGGGGAGGCAGGACCTCTACCGAGTGCTGTGATGTGTTATGTTTTGATGAGGTGGGTGGGGAGGATGGGAACAATGTTATTTGGATGTGATTGGACATCGTGTGAGCTCTTCTGCAAAGCAGCTGCCCTCAGCTCGTTGATGACAGCATCCCGCCTGCAGGTTGGGCTGCTGGACTGCCTGCAAAGCCCATCCGCGGGTCCAGGAGGTCAGGTAAAATAGGATCAGGATGAGTTCTATTCACAGAAGTCACCAATCTAACATGAAAGAAAATAATCATGACTCAGGAGCAAGGGTGTCTGCAGCAAAGAGACTCTCCAGGCATCGTTTAGAAGCTGAATGTCACACATTTAGGGTGCCAGCTCCACACATAATCACACAAGTAAAAAGGAGGCTTTTCTCCTAAACTGACATTCTTTTTTCTACTTTCTGAGAGGTGTGGACACTGGGGCTGGGAAATGCTCAGGCTGCCCCCTGCAGACGAAGACTGGGCTGTTAAGAGAGTCCACTTGTCTTTCATGACACAAGCCTTAGCTCACAAGATGAGAAGTCCTTAGTCCCAGACCACCTGTTCCAGGATGACAGAAACCCTTCTAAAAACTGAAATCTATGTGACAGAATGAATGAAGGTAGGCTAACCCAAATTACTGCTCACATTTTTTTAAAATAAAAGTCACACAAATACCATAATGATGCTGGTTAGAACATTACGTTTCTCATATCTATAAATGAGGGCTAGTACTTATCACCCAAAAGTAGACAAAAAATATGAAATGCATTCATTCCAAATTTAGACTTTGATAACTTTCCAAAAGGTTGAAATAAGTTTAATTGCAGGGACATGAGTCCAGCTGAGTGACTTTCTGTTCATCTGTAATAACCCATCTGGAACTGTATTTACTCTTCTTAGAACAGTAACTTATAACGCTGATAAACTGAGGTGGAGCCTGTTTTAGTAACATACACCTGGGTAAATGTTCTGGAACTGCCAGTGCTTAGTCACTGCTGCCTACAGTGTGGCCACCAAAGGCTTCTTGGGAAAGCTCCCTTTGGGTCCAGAAGTCTCACCCTCAAAGCTCCGGCTGCCCTGGACCCTACACAAAGCACCTGAAGCCTCTGCTGGGAATGGGGCCCTGACAGGGCCACAGTGCACCCTGAGGCTTCTTTAAAACACGAAGGTGAGTGCAAAATCCAAACAGGAAGCGTTCAGCTGTGCCCTCCCAAACCACCCCAGCACGCCCCTGCGGAACTGCTGCTCCTGTCCATCCTTGCAGTGGTGGTTCCCTCATACTCATCTGGAAGGTGCCACAGAAAAGGCTGACAATGTATTATTACTAGGATAGACCCTAGATAATCTTTCTGATATACCAGATAGATATCACCTGTTCCCTCGTTTGTCAATATGGAAGAAACCCCACTTTATACATTTTATACAGAAAAGTGGACACTGCCATACATTCATGCGTGGTCAGCTCTGAGCCCCCAGGAATAGAAGGGCCTTCCATTTAAAACAACTTACACCTGGATACAACAAACACCAAGAAACATGCAAACACTACAGAGAATCTGTATGTAAAGAAGTCATATTTTATACTGATGAGGGTGCCGTTAATGTTGATGGATGGCTTCGATCACTCATGCTCTAACAGAGGGGCCTGTGACAGTGTCTGCTTCTCTTTCAGGATTCCCAGTTGTTTCTGTGTCAGGCACTAAGCAATCTGGTGGCTTTTGTTCCAAACGGGTATTTTAGTTGTCTTTTTGCACCTTTTAATCCCTCTTCGAAGAGTCAAGTTCAAATGCTGGAAACCGTGATGTCTCTGGTCCCAGGACATCGGAGAGAAAGTGAATAGCGCCAGCCATGCCTGCAACGTAAAATGAGGAGCCTCTTACGAATGGCACAAGGGTAGTGTCTAAGACAGTGACTTTTAATCATTTCCCTTACCAGGGGCTGCAAGCATGTGGGAAAGGTGCTGAGGACTCTAAAGATGACTTCATTAAAAAACAAAGATATCCTTATATTTAGCACCCAGCAGGTAATATAATAATACCAGCTTTCCTCACGGTCTTATATTTTAAAAATTGGTTACTGGGCTTTAATCTTATATCTTGAAACTTTAAGGTGACATCATAGAATCGCTATGGAACTTATGGATGCTGCTAATTACGATACTCCTACACATGGAGCTTCCCCTCAAGAACCTGTATATGCTCAAAGTTGCTTTTACATCTTCTTGATATTTGGTCAAAATCCCCACCCCAAATCACTGCAGTAATTAAGCAGCGGGTTTTCAACTAGACTCACAGCAGCATAGGAAGGGTATGGGATGGGGAAGGCGCTAGTAGCCCACCAAGGCCTCCAGGTCTCCTGTCCCCACTCAAATCAGAACAATTCCTCCCTTATAGGGTTTTTGTTTACAGTTTTTCTTTTGATATAAAATTCACGTACAATGAAACACACAAATCCAAAGTGTACTTCTCTGAGGGTTTGTCAAATGCATATACACCTGTGCAAAAGAAACGCGATTAAGACCTGGAATATTTCCATCACCCCACAAGTTCCAAGTGCCCCTCTCCAGTCCCTCCAGCCCCTGTGGTCCCCCCAGGGGTAACCGGCAGCCTGGTCTTGGTCCACCAGGGATTACTTCTGCCTGCTTTGGCACTCTTAGGAGCATGGCCACAGTGTACAGCCCTTGCATCTGGTTCCTTTGTCAGGGTTCCTGCAGTTCACTCATGTTCTGTGCGTGTCCATAGTTGGCCCCGTCATACTGCTGAACAGTACACTGCAGACCGTTTCCCCATTTTGCCTACTGAAGGTCATCTGGGGTGTTCCCAGCCTTCTCTGTAAGTTTGTTTAAAGAAAGGGTTCCAGAAACTTATTTAAAAAATCAGAAAACCACTGACCTAGGAGTGCCCATGAGAAGTAAACAGGGACCCATAACGAGCATAGGAGGCCCCACAGCAGGCCCTGCGGGGACGAGCCTGGCTTTCCTGCTCAGGTGTGTGGGCAGCAGATCCACTGGGCGGCGCGCTCCAGCAGGAGTGAGCTCCTCCAGAAGAGGCGCCAGGTGCCAGGGAGCCCTCCCAGTGGCTCTTCCAGCCAGCCAGTTTGCCACAATGGCCTGCGTTGCTAGGCACATGGACTAATGATCCCTCCATCCCGACGGGAATTTGGTGAGAGTCCCCCACAGTTCTGTCTGCCAGGCACTGGCGAGGCACAGGGGAAGGAGGTGACCTATGAATTTCCTGCCTTTAGGGTCCAAAGCTTTCGACCCACTGGGGCTCTGGAGGTGCTATTATCAACTAGATAAACTCCATTTAGAGTGCCGGCATTAACTCTGTTATATCTGATGCAAATGCATTGCACTTTTATGACATCGAGGACTAAAACTTTTATTCTAATAAGTACTTTTTCCTTATGAGTTCTTTGAATATTAAAAAGATCATCTTCTGCAAAAGATGTGACACATGCTCTATTTTCTGCTCATATTTCTAAAAAGTGATTTAAAAATATTACCAGTATAAAAACTAAAACAGGACATACCACTACAGATGATGTAGACAGAGGATGATAAGGGGATACTACCAATAGCGTACACATATGAATTTCACCACTTGTACACAATTAACCGATTTCCCCAAAATTACAAACTATGACAGCTCACCCAATATGAAACTTGAACAGCCCTATAACTATTTTAAAAATTGAATTTCTTTTAAAAGTCTAGAAAAATAAATCTCCAGACCTAGAAGTTTGTACTAGAGAATTCTACTAAACATTTCAGTTACATTAATACCAATTCTTCCACCAATTAACACACAGTCCGTCCCAGAAAACAGAAGAGAAGAAAGACACTTCTCAACACAGTTTGTTAGGTCAGTATGACCCTGATACCAACACCAGAGAAAGACAGCACAAAACAGGAAAACTATAGGCCAGTACCCTTCATGAACAGAGATGCAAAAACCTCTACCAAAATATTAGCAAACAGAAAGCACGCCCACACCCACATATAAATCTAATGAGTATCCGGGCCTGTCTGTGGGGCTTCTCTGTTTGTGCTCCGGTCTTCCCTCCCCTGTGCCCTTGGTGGACTTGGAATCCTTGCTGCTTTCACTGACTGCCTAGCGGTGCTCTTCTTTTCAGAACTTTCTTCAATATTCACTTTTGCTATTTTTCTAATTACCAATATTTCTAATTGCCAATATTAATTATTCATACTTCTTTATATAATATTAAATATATATTAAGTAATTAGTAAAGCGTCCCATGAATACGCCAATATTAAGTACGCAACATTACAGATGAAACACAGAGGAGTAAACTATTTCTTCCATTGCTAAAAGCAAGCCGCCTACGTTCTGTCTGCAGAGACACCTCACAAAAAACCTAACAGCACTTGGAAGACATTCACAGGAGCAAAAAACATAGGTAAGGTGAGGAGATTCAACATAATTTTCAGCAATAAGCTAATTTGCTGACTTATTTTACAGTTTGGAAGTATTACTTGAGCCAGGTCAAATGTGAACAGTGCCAGTCCACAGGGGCAGGAGAACCAATTTCACCCAAACATTTAAACCATAGCATTTTTCTCACTCTTACCTTCAAAGAGTGAATAGGGTCTGTCAGGAATGCGGCACCCGTGTGCTCCATAATCTAGACACCACTCTGCAAACTGAAAAGAAAGGGATTCCTTTTTAAGACTGGAGTTTCTACTTGGTGAAAAGGTAATAAATGAGAATGCAATGTCTTCACAGGAATTAGGGAAGTGGACCCCCAGCTGTAGGGCATTCAGTGTGGGCTCCACGGGCTCCTGCGCCCCCTCTTCCAGGGGCAAGGCCTAGCAAGTCTTGTCACCTCTGCTTGTGGCTGCCTCAGCTGTAGAGTGGGGTCTGCCTTACGGCTGCTGGGAAGTCTGAGGTGAAAACTGAACAGCTCAATGACACTCTGTTCTCCCTGGCACCTTCCTCCTGCCGCTTCAGCTGACGATTCTAGAAGCAACTCGAAACGCCTGCTCTATCCTGAACAAAAAACCCTGGGTCTAAAACGGCCCTCAGCAGCAGCTGCCAGCTCCCCCGGCCCCAGCTGGGAAACAGCTTCAGCCCTGCCCGGGGCGCCGCCTCTCACCGCAGCCCCTCCACAGCTGCTGCTTGGCAGTCTCTCCACCTTCACAGCCCCTGGCTCTCAGCCCTTCCTGTGGTCTCCTCTGAGCTCCTTGACCCTTTTTTCTTAGACCTCTTCAATGGGTATTTCCATATCGTTTTAATAAACTTCCCTTTTGTGCCTAAGCTAACATAATTTGAAGAGTCATTTGTACACTAAGAATCATAAGTAATAAACATGAGGAGTATCAAGTTCAGCACACGTAAAAAGAAACTCACTCTGCTTTTACCCTCCCAATCTGCTCACTCTTAGCTTGTCTGATGGCCCATCTACCCAGTTTTCCGAGTCAGACAACAGAAAGACATTCAGATATTTCCATCTTCTCCACATTTAAAAACATGCATTAAATTCTGTGGGCTTTACATCATACGTGTTTCTAAATGTCTCATTTTTTATCCCAACCTATGCTTTGGTTTATAACTCAACATTTCTTGCATTAATTACTAAACCGCTATTTAGGGAAACCCAAGTTCGCCTCATTCTTCCTACTGGGACCACAGCGATCTTTCTAAAAGAGATTCCAAACCCTTCCATGAGCCCCCATCTTCCAAATCGGTATCCAATGCTAGCTGATTACTAAAATTACTGGGGGAGCTTGAAAAATATTAGTGCTGGGGGTTCCTCATTTAACTGGTCTACAGTGAGGTCCAGTCATTATCTGAAAGCTTCCCAGTGGTACAAGGTTGAGAACTACTGGCTACAGGGAAGGACTAACTTTCTCCGGCCTCCACCCACCTGTCTGACTTCACCTTTCCTTCCTCACACCTTTCCTCACACATTTCCTTCCCTTTGCACCCTAAAGGCTGAAGTGCTTATGGAGTCAGGAACACACTGAGCTGGTTCCTGCTCTGCAGCTCTGCCCAGGCTATTCTCCTTATCAGAACTGCATTCCACCTCTGCAGGCCACCCCTGCCTGGCCCACCTGAAAAACCCCTCATCTTTAAAAAACCGGCGGCATCTCAACCCTCCTGCATTGTCCATATTTGCATAATCATCTACCATCATCACATCATCAAGGCTGGCCCAGGACTGCGGAATCTAGCTGCTCCCCGCTTGCTGGCTCCTGTTCTGCCCCATCCCCCGTGCTCCAGCCATAGTGTCTGGGCGCTCACACCTCCGGGACTTCGGAACAGCAGTTTCTTCTGCTGACCTGCCATGCCAAATTGGGCCCTGCCCTCTTTGCTTCCACAGCCTCCTGCATGCTTCCATCAGTGGGGGAGCCACAGATGTGCGTGCATTTTCCGGCGCACCAACAAGGTGGGGCCCATTCCATTTGGGTTGAGAAAAGGCTTCATAAAGTAACAGATATTCAAAAAGTATAAAGAACACATCAGCCGCAATGCCTCCATCTAACAAGGGTCACTGTACACACTTTAGTGTATTTTCTTCCAATCTTTTTTCTGTGTGCACACAACTACATTCTGTGAAATGTGTACATAATAAGAATACTAGCAAACATTTACTGAGTCTTGCTCTGTGCCATTCATCTTCACATGTCCAGTGCATGTTTACTGAGTTTCTACTAGGAGATATACACTGCTCCACGTACTAGTGTAGAATAGTGACCCAGACAAACAAGATCAAGAAGCTTATGTTCTACCAGCCTACATACTCAAGAAACACGCAAAAACATACAATGAGCAACTGAGTGATCATCCACTTGGGGGTCTCAAAGGTCCTTCTTAGAATGTCACAGTTCAGATCAGCATGGCAAGGAGCCACCATCCACATGCTGAAGGAAGAGTGCTCCTGAAGGGAAGAGTTAACGACAGGTCCAGCGGAAACAAGAGTGACACACTCCGTTCTTAGGGCGGCATGGCTGTATTACGGCAGGCTAGAGGGCAGGGTACGGTGAGGAGACTAGGCAGAGACACAGAGGGGGCCAAGGTGCACAGGGCTCTGTCAACCTGGCGGAGGAGTGCAGGCTCCATCTACAGTCGATGGGAAGCCGCTGGAGGGTCTGGCAGGATGATTACAGACGATCTGCACATTAGCTCAGTTCTGCTTGCAACATCCTTAGGAGGTGGGTAGTATTTTTTTTCTATCTGTACAAATGAGGAAACTGAGGCTAGAAGAAGAGACACATTCAAACTCATGAAGCCAATAAATGGCACAGGTGGTAATTCTCATCAGGTAGTGACTCCAGGACACATATTCTTCAGAAGCCATTGACATTTGTGCTCCCCATTCTATAGACAGGGACACTGTGGCCCAGAGAAGCCACAGACAAAGCTGTGTCAGAAGAAAAAGAGGAAGCTACAGAGTTGGGAGAAACAGATTAAAAGAAGGAACAGGAGTTGTACTTCTGGACTCTGTGCACACTCAGGGTTGTTCGGAAGCAGTTCCAACAGAGCCACCCTCACCTTGCAAGCTCGGTAGAGGTACTTCTTATCCTGCGTGAGACGGTAAAGGGACAGGAAGGAGTAGCCGTTGCCAGCAGTCCCGTGGCAGATCCCGTAGCCCTTCCGCAGCAAACCTCGCTGCCAAATCACATCGCTACACTCCATGGCCTCTTTCAAGTACTTCTCCTCCTTAAAGACCTTGGCAAATTAAAAACAAAGCAGTGTTAAAAAGACAGTTTCAATGACGAGCTGGCAAAATACTTTCCCTTTCTGGTTAGGACATGGCATGATATTAGGAAAACTGAAATGGTACTGGGGGTGAAAAACAGACAAACAAACAAACAAAAAACAGCAGCAACATCGTACATAGAATCTCACAATCTCAATTCATTAGCCCAGTGGTCTCCAACCTTTCTGGCACCAGGAACTGGTTTTGTGGAACCATTTTTCCACAGCCAGGAAGGGGAGTTGGGGATGGTTTTGGGATGAAACTGTTCCACCTCAGATCATCAGGCATTAGTTAGATTCTCATAAGGAGCACGCAACCTAGATCCCTCGCATAAGCAGTTCACGATACGGTTCGCTCTCCCACGAGAATCTAACGTGGCCGCTGATCTGACAGGTGGCAGAGCTCAGACAGTAATGTGAGTGATAGGCAGCGACTACAAACACAGTTGAAGCTTCGCTTGCTCGCTGCCGCTCACCTCCTGCCGTGCAGCCCAGTCCCTAACAGGCCACAGACCAGTACCAATTCACAGCCTGGGGGCTGGGCTGGGGACCCCCGCATCAGCCTATTCCCCTTGTCCTCCTTCTGTTTTACAGTTTTACTAAAATAATTCTAAAATTTAGTCTTTAAAATTAAAATTAAAGCTGCCATATCTTTTTGGTAAGATGTTTTTCTTGTTTCTTGGCACGTACGTCCCATAGCTCTAAAATTTCTGCTCTTGTAGAAGGCAATCGAGAGAGTGAGGCCCTGTTAGCAGGGCAAGAATGTCCAACACACTGGTCAGTACACCTCAACAGGACCTGAGGACCCTGCCCCACCAGGCTGGCAAGATCCATCTTCACCCATCCCAAGGAAGCTGGCACACAGCTTTCTGGGGTCCAGGAGCAAGCATCACCTCCCTGAGTTGTTTATATGGTCAGCTGCAGAGACAGGCAGGCTCAGTGAAGGCAAGAGACGGCAAGAAGAAGCTGTGGGTTTTCACCTCCTGAGATTCCCTTGTACATTTTCTTCTTTCTCCTCACATGCCATATACTGTTTTCCTGATCCTTTCCTCAGAGTCTGTTCTTAGTTATGTCTACCTGCTAACTCATCCCATTCCAGTGCAAATGGGTTTTGGACAATGGATCAGAGGCACAAAGGTCATCACTACTTGGGTGGCAGGTCAGGTCCCTCTACTTGTGACTGATTAGCTGGGCACTCAGTCGAGAAGGGCTCTGAGGTCGCAGGAAAATGGCGGAGGTGGGGGGACTGGGCACGAACTGCGACCAGTGTCTACAGAGGGCAGAGTGGGAAACAAAGGCACAGCAAATCACCAGGGAGATTAAATGTTCCCAAAGTTAGGCTGTTAGGGAATCAGAAGCAGGACCCCCTCTATCAGTCACAAAGGCAGCTAAGATGTGGGCTCTGGGGTCAGACAGCCTGACCTGAGTCCCTACTGTCACCCTTTAACTGTGTGACCTTGGCTAAGTCACTGAAAAGTCTATGTCTTAGTTTTCTCAACTATAAAAGGATGACCGTCCTTCACCTCAGTGGCTTGCTATGAAGATTAAGATGTGATCACATCCTTGGAGCTTCTGGAACAGTGCCTGGCACATGGGAAGTGCTAGCTATTTCTTGGCTATGATTAACCATTACTCTTTCTATGGTATCGTGCCAGCACACATACTTCATCCTGTCACTTGCATCTTAAGCCTCTGAAAATGAACTGTAAAGGAAAACATGTTTTCCCATCCTAAGGAAATATTTGGTCAAAGCTAATGGGTGAGAAGATATTGTTTGAGAGGTTGTGTCCTGAAATCACACAGAGTGAGGACAGCCCTAAATTAGTGAGCCAGAGCTGCCCCTGCTGGTGGGAACCCGGGTGACTGAGGGTCCACATGGAAACCGAACAGGGTTCCTTCATGCCGTCCCTGTGCCTGCGAGGCTGAGGCTGCTACAGTCATGCCCACAATGCAGCCTGCACTGCTGCTTCTCAGCACCAGCAGCCTACCATGTCTGCTCCTGCCACCACATACACTCATGCTCTAAGCAAACAGCTACTTCTAACAGCGAGACATCCGAGAATTCAGAACTACAGAAAAGAGCTCCTGGACTAAATCACAGATTCATCTTCTCCACATTGTATTACAGCAATCATACATGGGCTACAAAATCCATGTACTTATCCACATTACCTCCCCCAAATGGTAAGTTTCCCTGGGCAGTATAGGACAGAAAGTGCAGAAAGACAGCACAATGCGAAGGAAAACCCGAGGGCTCTGGAGTCAGTCAGACACAGGGCTAGAGTCCCTGTTCCACCACGGCAGGCTGTGACTTCAGGTCAGCTGCCGCACCCGACCTGGGCCTGTGCGCCCATGCTACAAAACGGATGGATCCCAAGGTGACTCAAACATCAGAAATAGAGACAAGGGTTTTAGGCAGTTATTAGAAATATCTTCAAAGATGAAAAGGGGACTATAATCATCATTAGTGAACCCTCAGAAGAGAAAGGCAGAATAAGACAGAAACAAAGGGATATTCTGGACCTAGAAAAACATCAATAGCTAAAATTACAAAACTCGCTGGGTGGGTTTACGAGCAGGCTGGACATAACAGAAGAAATCATTGGTGAATACAAAACCAGGGAAATAGCAATCATCTAATCCTAATTACAGAGAAGAACAAGAAATCTAGAAAACAAAAGCCTCAGGAACCTGCAGGAAAAGAGAAGCCAGTCACCCAGTGTACTAAAAGATACACGTTTACAAGTTCAAGTTCAAAGGATCTTAAGCACGATAAATACAAATACATCTAGGCACGTGACAGTTAAACTATTAAAAACCAAAAATTAAGAGGAAACCGTGAAAGCCTCTAGAGAAAAAGCACACGTTCTATACAAGAGAACAGTGCAGAGAATGACTTGGAAACAACAGAGGTGGATGATGACGGAACAATGCCTTTAAAGCACCAAAAAGAAAAAAAGTCAACCTAGAATTCCCCATCCAGCAAAAATGTATTTAAGAATAAAGGTGAAATAAAAACAAATTTAAGACAAATGAAAATCAATTTGTTGTCACCAAACCTATGCTAAGTAAAATTCTACAGGATGAAAGAAATAATACTGGATAGAAATCAGGATCTTCAGGAAGAAACAAAGACCACTAAAAATGGGCACTACATAAATAAATAACAAAACTATCTTTTTTGCTTGTATCAATTAAGATAAAATATGCAGGGCTATTTAAAGCAAAATTTCTGGCCAGCCATGGTAGTTCACACCTATAATCCCAGCACTTTAGGAGGCTGAAACAGAAGGATCACTTGAGCCCAGGAGTTCGAGACTAGCCTGGGCAACACAGTGAGGACCCTGTCTCTTCAAAAAGAATTTTTTAAATTAAAAATAAAGCAAAAATTCTAACATTATATCAGTGGTTTACAACATTCGTAGATTTTATAAATATGGCAGATAGAGTGCAAAGCTCTGGAGTAAGCAGAACCACCTGCCTATGAGTTTCTTACAGTTTATGTGAAGTGGCTCAGTGTTAACTCTAAGGAGGTTATGAAAAGCTAAGGACATATATTGCAACCCCTGTAGCACTAGTAAAAAAAATATGCAAATAGATACAGTTAAAGAGTTAACAGAGCCCCAGGCACGGTGGCGCTCACACCTGTAATCTCAGCATTTAGGAAGGCCGAGGTGGGCGGATTACCTGAGGTCAGGAGTTTGAGACCAGCCTGGCCAACACGGTAAAATCCCGTCCCTACCAAAAATACAAAAATTAGCCAGCTGGGCATGGTGGCACGTGCCTGTAGTCCCAGCTACTCAGGAGGCTGAGGCAGGAGAATCGCTTGAACCTGGGAGGTGGAGGTTGTGGTGAGCTGAGATCTCACCACTGCACTCCAGCCTGGGTGACAAAGCGAGACTCCATCTCAAAAAAAAAAAAAAAAAAAAGTCAACAGAAAAATTAAAACAGAATCCTAAAAAATTTCCAACTAATCTCTCTACCTCCCTAAAAAAAAAAAAAAAAGAAAAAGAAAAAAGAAAAAAGAAAAAAGCAGGAAAGAAAAAACAGAGGGAGGAAAAACACAAAATGTCATTAAAAAAAATTTTAAATGGCAGAGCTGAATCCAACCGCATCAATAATTATATTAAATATATATGAACTAATTCCAATTAAAACACTGAGATTATTAGACTAGCTATAACACAAGTCCCATACAGGCTGAAAGCAAAAAGATGTGTCATGCAAACAGTAATTATAAAATGCTGGAGCAGCTGCATTAATATCAGACAAAGTAGATTTCAAGACAAAGAATATTACCAGAGATAAAAGGAACACTCCATGATGATAAAAGAGTCAATTCATTAGGAAAACATAACCATCATAAACATGTATTAGGACAGAGCCTCAAAATGCATGAAGCAAACAGTAAAAAAATTAAAGAGAAGAAAATAAACAGTTGGGAGACTGTAAAACTCCTCCTCCCATGACTAAGTAAACAAACAGCTGAAACAAATATGTAAGACAAATCCGTGAGGGTCAGCACACTGCAAGCCCACACAGTCTGATCTGTAAATTAAGTTCCCTGGAGTGTGGTCATGATGGTTCATTCACACACTGGCTGTGGCTGCTTTTGTGTTACAATGATAGAACTGAGTGGTTGCAGAGATTGCATGGACCGCAAGCCTAAAATATTTACTGTCCGGGTCATTACAGGAAGTTCGCTGACCTCTGTAATTGAAGAGCTGAACGATACATCCAACCATTGGCCTAACTGACATTTCTAGCACGCTATGCCTGACAACTAGAGAATACACATTCCATGCAAATGCATGTGGGACATTCATCAAGACAGACTAAATACTGAGCCATAAAATACATCTAAGTAAATTTTAAAACGTTAAATCATATATAATATGTTTTGTAACAATGGAATTAAATCAGAAATCAATGAAAATATCTATACAATTCTCAAATATCTGAAAAATACA